TTGTGTTCATATCTAAACTCGAAAATATTAAACCAAAAAACATATATGTATATATATACTATATATATACTAAAAATCCAAAACGTGTATGTGTGTATAATATGAGCTTAACAGTACTAACACATATAATATAAATTCCTAAACTAAATTACCCAAGCAATCTGGATCTCAACGAAGCTCTATCTTGATAACCTCTCGGATTTGAAGCTTTAACTTGGATCTTGACTTTGAATAGCAAGCTTCACCGACATTCCGCCAACTTCTTTTGATATGATCGTTATGGCGCAATCCATCCATCCTCCAACTACGTTGTTTGTCTACAAAACATAGGAATGCAGCAACCAAACACTAGACAAACAACATTAGTGATAAATTGTTTGTTAAACATCATCAAAACAAGAAGGCCAACATCACGTTGCTGTGGATTGTCTCTATGTTATCAATAAACAAGGAAAGAATATGATAGATTTTGTACCTTGTTATTGTTTACCATGTAGATTCATGATATTACAGGGTATTGGAATGTAAATAATCCAAATTTATAAAGTCAATGTACTGATTGCACTGAAGCTTTTTTCCTCTGACGAGATTATACCTAATTTATGAAATTTGATATTATATGCATTTTATATAGATCAATTACAATTTTTGTGAGAAATGGAAAACTTGGGCACTGAAGCTAATGAAGTAAACTTGGACGACGATGATTTGATATATACTCCTCAAGTATCAGATGGTATTGGACGACGATGATTTTTGTGATACAAATTGGCAAGAGGGTAATGGGTCATCAAGTGAAGATGGGGATGATGTGCGACTATGAAGACGTATATGGCTTTACACGCGAAAGTACAGATATCACAGTTTCAAGGTAAGAGATTTGATAATGATTTTAAGGCATCCGTTGTTTAATAAAAATCCGTTTATAGATAAGAATTTACATTTGCTTGATATTTGCTAGACTAATATAACTCCTTCATTGATACTTACCCTACTAATACAGCGACATCCTCGTGTTAGATTTGGCAGTGTTCTCCTTTACAACAACTACACCAGAAATTGGACTTGATGCTTACCCTACTGGATGTATCTGTTTTATGTGTTGGACTTGATGCTGGACTTATGTTTTGGCAAATGTATCTATTTTATGTGTTGGACTTGATGCTGGACTTATGTTTTGGCAAATGTATCTGTTTTATGTGTTGGTCTATATGTGGACTTATGTCTTGGCAAATGTATCTGTTTTATGTGTTGGACTTGATGCTGGTATAGTTTTGTTATGTACAATTGTAACTCATGTGTTGGTCTTTCGTGTTAGATTTGTTATGTATATTGTAACTTATGTGTTGGACTTGATGCTGGTATGGTTTTCTGCTTCGGTTTTAGTGATTGTCTTGGCAAATGTATCATGTTCTCTTATGCTAATAAAGGGTTATCTAACAATAACTCAAGGTCCTGAATAACTGCTCCTTTTTTATCAGGTACACATCTTCTATACGGCACGAAACCCTGGCAAGGTTTGTTTTTTGTTGCTTTCAGGCTCCTGAAAGTTGACGTTTCGCTTGGTCTGAACTTCAAACTAACATTTGGGGGGTCACTTCCATCCTCAACGCTTGATTCATCTCTGGGTACGGTGTTAGAACCAGCGAAAGAAGTCTCAGTCTCCCTCTCCCCTGACTTCAAACGCTTAGCGGCAGCAACATCTGATGCTGCATCGCCGCAAAAGCCCCATAAATATAGAACATCGGAGCTGCATTCCACTGGTTAGTAGAGGTCGGAGCTTCATAGGGCTGCTCTGCATCATCAACGGTGGATTTGGATGAAGTCAAAGCCCGCATGAAATTGTTAAATCTTGGCTGCGGAGGTGAATTAAAATTATGATCCAGACTCTTGCACTCCACGGATTAACAAGTTTGATGATTCTTATTGCTATATTTCACAAGACTTGCCACCTCTGATCAAATGCCCATAATGAATAAGAGTGAGAAGGTAACAAAACAATTACTTGGTTGATAAAAGGATAATCCTAGGATAATCCTGATAGATGTCTTATAACCTCCTATAAACGCTTAGCATCCATCAAACAATCCCTTATCCTATCTCTCATAGTCAAATATGGATATAAGGCAACCCTAACGTAGCCAACATATTTTGTACCTCATAATCATCCTTACAATAATGATCAGCACCCTATAGTTCTAATTTATAGCAACAAGACATGAAATAACTCAGCGAATACATATCAAACCAATTCAAGCTCAGCCACAAATTACATCATATGTTTTTTGCAATAGAGAAACCAACAAATACCGCAACGATACATACTAGAAATACTAATATTGTAAACAATGAACCTAATACAAAACCAACAAATACCGCAACGATACATACTAGAAATACTAATATTGTAAACAATGAACCTAATACAAAAGCATAGATAGAGAAAATAGAAGTTTCCCCAAGTTTTTCCTTGTCCACATCCAGATTATGGCTCACTGGATATCTTCGTTCTTGAGCATAAACGGATGTTTGGACAGGCCTCGAGCTTGATGCTGAATCACGAGCGAGTGTGTGCTTCTCCCATTCAATCAAAGCCTCTTCGTATGTTGCATACCCTTTGTAGGAGGCATTTGGGAACTTATCGACCTGATATTTGCATTCCTCCCTATTATTAAAAATACCACATCGTCGACCTCTCTTCACAACATAAAAACTTTTTCTAGCCATGGATAACCTGAAAATACCCCAAATTGGAGGGTAAACAAAATTTTTATATTTGTTGAAGGCAATGTATAATGAGTGCAGGGGGGTATAGATTAGTACTCTTGAATTTTGACATTCATACATCATATCGAAGATCAGGTCGTCTACTAAAGTTGATATTTTAGTAACATGATACAATCTTCAATTTGATATTTATTTTCAAGAGTTAATTTCACATACATCCATATAGTATCATTCTTTAATTTTAACAAGGCATTTTATCATATTGGTTCCAAGGCTCCTATTAGTAATGGTCTCTAGCCTTTAAGGCTGTTTCGTCAATTTCTATGGTTTGTCATATGAAAATAAATGTCATATGGTATTAATTCCAACTGAAAAATATTTCCAGGCTCCTATAACTCAATGCAACTGATGATGCCTGAAATTTGAGGACTACTTTTCATTTGTGACATCATTCATGTAAGAAAAACATAAAGTTTGCATAATACTATGCTGATATTACCCGTCAAAACAACTGCACAATGTGCGTGCTCTCTCAGTCAGGCACTAGCAACTGGTTTTTCATTTCTTAAATTGTCTTTTTATGTCTTAACATGTCAACAAAATAAGAGAAGAAACATAGTCGTCTAATTTGACCTTGAATACAAATGTACAAAAAAACTCAATAGAACCAAAAAAGGTAAGCTCTAATTTGAACAAAATACTGTTGACTATATAACTGTAAACTACTTGCTTTTGAGCTAGACAGCTAAACAGTCTTTTCATGGTTCTGAACCTTGGTTTGGCTTCATGAATCAATTCTCGTTAGTTTAATGTGAGGGACAAGTACAGTCTCCTCCCTATTTTTGTAAAAGCATAGTCCCAGTTACGGTTCAAGAACCTGACAATTTTTTCTCACTACGAAATTCAAATTGCTCAACCCAAGCTATTGTGTACCACTATTTTTTTAAAATTTCATATTACAACAAAAGACAAAAAGAATAAAACTTTGAAATTTGTAACAAAGAGATGAATGTTAGACCCTAGAGGGGGGGTGATTAGGGTCTTATGCTAATCTAATCCGATTAAATGCCAATTAAAATTAATTAATACGTTATCCTAGCAAGTATAAAATAAGCAACAAGATATGTGAGCTAGATAAACAATATGAACAACGGGATATATGCCTAGCAATGAGAGATATACTATGAGTTATATGCAAGGATATGAAACTAAGGGTGATATAAACATAAATAAGATAAACAAGATAGTGGATAATATGAACTAAGAGTAAAATGACAATGGCGATTAAGATATGAGCATGAAATATAATGAACGCCAAAGCACACTCAACAGCACTATATGATAACACAGAGTTCGGACCTTCCGTCCTACCGTCTCCCGCTCCCCACTCGGCCGCAGGGGGGGAGAAATCGCACTAACACAATCCGGTTTGGAAGCCCGAAGCTTCTTTCTACACACCGGTTTTCTAGGGCTAACACGAAAACTCTACAACTCACACTCTTGGCAATCACACTCTACATCTCCACTAAGTTGTTGGACCTAGCCGTGTCTCCCTCAAGTGCTCGTTACAACGCTCTCCCTAGGCACCGTCAACCGACGCCACTCTCTTGGCACGATACCCGACTCTCACCCACACACTTCTCACTGCGTGTACAAGTGTATTACAATGTGATCTCAGCAATTAGGCTCAATATAAGCAAATGATTGTTCTTTCTAACAAGGTGAGAACTCAATTAAGCACAACTCTAAGTCACAAACCGCACAACCCAATCCAAAAAATATACTATGAATGTAAATACTATATAGCTCAATAGGTTGTGTGTGAACAAATAGAGAAAAACAATATAAACTCAATATAAAATTCTAGCTTATGAAATTAAGAACAAAACTTATAAAATGCTAGAATTGAGTTTAAGGAAACTTTCTATAGATGACAAGAGAGAGGGAGAAGAGTGATTGCTCAAACACCAAATGATGATCTCCACTTGCTCTTGTGAAATTGTCTTCACAAACGCAAAAGCACTCAAATGCTTAAAAAGCTTCTTAAACCAAACTTAAACAAACACTAAACAAGTTTAAACGCGCTTGTTAAAAAAACTTCTTTAAAAACTTCTTAGATGACTTGAGAGTTGAAGAGACAATGGGGTATTATACCCTCTCAGCAATCAGCCAAAAACCCCAAGCCAAAGGACAACAAACGGCCAGGCGCAGAAAGCTCCTCAGAAAAGTAGGCCGTTGTGGCCAACGGATCTATTGTCCGATCGACGCCGCGTAAAATTTCGCGTCGGTCGACGATGAGAGGCAAAAACACGAGGAAAACATTCTGGAGCCGGCATCGTCGGTCGACCCGTGCGGTCGACCGATGGAGTTTTTCGGTCGACCGGACGCGGGTCGACCGACATAGACTCTCTGTCGCCGCAGTGAACATATGAACTCAGGTTCGGTCGACCGGAAATCTGATACACTTCAAAAACTGTTTTTAAGACTTTTCGAAAATATGTTAAAAATAACAAATGAAGTCCAAAAATTATGAAACTTTGGAAAATGTATATACACATGTAAATGAACATGTTCACAAAGGAATTTTTCCAAATTGCATTTCTCATTTGTGAAAAATTCAATCAATTTTGCAAATAGTTCAAAACACAGAAAAATATAAACATGTGAAATTTGATATTTTGGCTAAACACATGTTTTGAAAGCTTTGGCAGCAATGATTATATAGACTTATATAAGTATGTATATGATTATTGTTAAGTCCAAAAACTAGGAATACAATATTTTCACAAAAATTGCATATTCTATGCAATATTTTTTAAAACCACTAAATATGATTTCATTTGATATAAGCTTGTTAAAGACGAAATCATATATAGGCATATAAACATTGAAAGCAAAAATCGTATTTTCTAATTCTATTCATTTGTTTCATATATAAACTCGAAACCTATTAAATCAAAAACATATATGTATATATATATAACTATATATATATACAAAGCCAAAACCAAAGTGTGTATGTGTGTATATGATTGAGCTTAAAGTACTTAACACACATAATATAAATCCTAAACTAAGTTACCCAAGCTTGGTCTTGATCTTCATTGTAGCTCAACTTGGTCTTGGATCTTGACTTGAATGTGCATTGCTTCACTCCACTATTCCGCCAACCTCCTCTTGATATGATCGTGTAGGCTTAATCCATCCAACCTCCAACAACGTTGTTTGTCTACAAAACATAGGAATGCACAAACACTAGACAAACAACATTAGTAATAAATTATTTGTTAAACATCATCAAAACAAGAAGGCCAACAATGAACATACCCCTTCTTCAGGAGTTGGGATGAGTTGGGGGGTTCGGTCGGCGGTCTCAGAGGATATGTTGTTGTTGACGATTGAGAGAAGAGTGGACGTCGGATGAGTTGGGGGGTTCGGTCGGCGGTCTCAGACGTCGTAGTCGTGGCGGAGGAGGTGGTCTCAAACTTCGTAGTCGTGGTGGTGAGGCGGATCTGGGGAGCTACGGTTGGAGATGGGTGATTTGGAGCTCGTCGCGCCATGCGGAGATGGCCGGATTGGAGCATTGGAGGGTGAGGCTGCCGATTTGCTGGGCACTTGTCGATTTGGGGGCTCGTCGTCTCGTGATTGGGGATTTTTTGGAGAGAGAGAGAAACGACTTGGCGTCACGAGCATCGTGTATATCAGCGCGTTTTTTTTGCCGAAAAACCCTCTTATAGCTGGCACAGTACAATCACGAGAAGAGGCATTGTCGAGGAATTTTACAAAAAACCCCAAACGACGTTTCTGGCCTCAGTGCGTACGCCACCAATGCGTAAGGAAATGCTCTGTATATATATATATATATATATATATATATATATATTATTATAATATAATATTTATATATAATATATATATATATATATATTATATATATTATATTATTATATATTATATTAATATATATATATATCATTAATGGATGTCCTTGTCATAGGAGGGGATTTCCTCATATGACGCCTCTAAAATCAACATGCATTGAGCGACATTGTGAGATTATCCCGCTCCGTTGAACTTGATCTACATATTTCTAAAAGCTAACACACCAAGTTGTGCTGAACCCGTCGTCGTTTGACCCTTCATCACTCGTATTAATTTTAACGTGATTTGAATGAATAGAACTTTTCAACATGGCTTGCATGGCAGCGGAAACGACGACGGATTCAGCCACCAAACTTGTGTGTTTGGGGTTTTAGAATATTGTAGATCAAGTTAACGAGCGGATCACCACAATGTCGCAATGAAAAAAAAATTCATTTGATTTTTAGAGCGTCAAACGGAAGGAATCCCCTCCTATGACAAAAGATACCACTTATCATCTCATATATATATATATATACTATATATATATATATATATATATATATATATTATATATATATATATATATATATATATATATTATATATTATATATATATATGAAAAATGAGACACGGGCACGAACGTGCACTATACTAGTTCTTTTAAATATGCGCTCTCCAACTTAAAATTATTAATTAACTCTAAATTAAACTAAGATGCATTAATATTCTAACTTTTTCCTGATTTCCCTTAGATTTTACATTATATTATACAATATATAATATATATAATTATATATATATATATATATATTATATCATATATACTATATATATATATATATATATATATATATATATATGAAAATGAGTACACGTGCAACGAACGTGCACTATACTAGTTCTTTTAAATATGGCTCTCCAACTTAAAAATTATTAATTTAACTCTAAATTAACTAAGATGCATTAATATTTCTAACTTTTTCCTGATGTTCCTTAGATTGTTACACTTGATGCCTGCAATATATTGCAATAGTTACTCCTTATTATAATTATTTAATGGGGTAAATTACACTAAATCCTTGTGAATTTTCCGCTCATATAAACTTTTAAAATTACACTAAACCCCTAATGACTTTTTTGTTTCAAGAATACCCCTAATATTTTTTTGATTTTTGTAGATAACCCTATAAATTAGAACCAGAAAATGGCATAAAAAGTATTTTGAAAGATATTTGGGTTTTGGTGTGATTATAATTCTTAGTTCAAGTAATACTATTAAAATAGTTATATAGTCTATATGCTATATATAAAATATTTATCTAGTTCAATTTTTTAATTATTCTCTTAAATATTTTTGTACTATAAATATTTTATAAATTTTTACTATACTATTATTAACAATTAATAGTATTATTAATTATATTAAATAACTTTTTTGTTAAAAAGGATAGATTTCAATTATTATCAACTACAGATTATTTAGTGTTATGTAATAATTTTTGAGAAAATATTCTAATAATAATATTAAATTGTTTATTTAATAATATAATAGATTATTTAGTGTTATGTATTACTGTTTGCATTGCTGTCTGCCTCTTTA